ATGGTTTAGGAAGATGCAGGCCCAAAAGTCTCCGGGAAAGGGACTGATAAGGCTCTATGTACCATACTCCTGTCAGTCACTTGTGGCAGTGAGATGGAAAATAAGGGCAAATGAACAGGAAAAAAGCTACCCCCCCAAAACCCCAAAACTATGGTCTTTAAACAGATTTCCTGAAAAGAGTGCTTTCAGGGGTCTCAGAAAGTTTATGTTCCTGACAGACTTGTCAAGAAGGGGTAATTAATGAAGTGTATTTGATTGAATCTGTGGAACTAAAATGCAAAATGAAGTTTGACATCTATGGACCATTAAAGGCAGAAACTACAGAGTGCTCTGCACTGTCCTGGCTGCCTGGTTTAACTTGCTCAGAATAAAATGTTGTTTCAAAAAAAGGGTGTTATCAAACTGCAGTGAAACATGGCCTCATTGTCATTGCTCCAGACAAGAGACCATGTGGCTGCAATATTAAAGAAGAAAATGGCAGATGGGACTTCAGCATTGGTGCTGGCTTCTATGTAAATGCTCCTAAAGAACCTTGAAAAACCAACTGCAGAATGCATTCATATAATAGATGAGCTGCTCCAGATGATAAATATCAATTTTCTATCTTGACCCAGAAAGAATGTCTATTTTTTGGGCCACTTTATAGGAGCCATTGGAATGTTTTAAAAGAAAGAAAAATAGTTTGTGTCAGCATTCTTTTCAATCTGTTCTGACCTTGGCGGAGAAAAGGCCTTTACCCCAACTATCCTCAAAAAGTTAACTAGACTGTGCATACCCTTTGATTCAGTCATACAGCTATTAGGCCTATACTCCTAAGAGATCAAAGAAAGAAGGAAAGACCCATATGTGCAAAAATATCTATAGTAGCTGTTTTTATGGTGGCTGAGAACTGGAAACTAAGGGGGTACCCATGAATTGAGGAAAGGCTGAACAAATTATGGCATATACATATTGTACTATAAGAAATACTAAAAGGGATGATTTCAGAGACACCTGGGAAGACTTATATGAATTGATGCCAAGTAAAGTGAGCATGGGGAACTTGGGGAACAATTTATACTCAGGACAAAATCAAACCACTTTGAAAGAATTAAGAACTCATATCAATGCAATGACCAACTACCATTCTAGAGTACCAATGATGAAGGACATTACTTACCTCCTGTCAAAGAGGTGATGGACTCAAGATGCAAAATGAGACATACATTTTTGGACATGGCTAACGTGATAATTTGTTTTACTTGACTATCCATATTTGTTGCAAGATTTCCCTGCCCCTGTTCCCCAACCTACCCAAGGTGGGAAGAAGTGGGAGAGAGAGAAAATAACTGCTTGTTAATTGAAGAAAATAATTTTTTTTTACAAAAGGTCATCAATAGATATTTAAGACCAGATCAAAGTAATTAGGAGGCCCATGATACGTTCATCTTGTGAAGACCTCTCTAGATTCTCAGTTGGACATAATAGCTGATCATGGCAAAGATGACCAACCAGTTTCTTGACAACTTTATAGCTGCTTGTGCAGAACAGAAAATCCAGTTATATTCATATTGCAAGATTGTCTTCTACTTCACTGCAACTTTTGTTAATGATCACATCAGACATCATCTAAAATACCTGAATGGATAAAACTTCATTTATGAGAAATCTCACACTGATAAAAGTTAACATGGAAACAAAACATTTTTGAAAAGATAGGATTATGCTTTAAAAATTATTGCCTGTGGAAAGTCCCTTCTAGTTTTGGTCAGAAGGCATTACCTTCTGAATGAATGAATGAATAAATAAATAAATATTTTTTTTCAAGAGAAGGTGCCACATGGGGAGAGCTACCTCATATGAGATGAATTTCTTGCTGAGTTAAACTGTGCTGAGCTTCAAAACTTCAGTGCTTTTACAAAACCTCCAGTATTCCCACAGGGTTCTATTCCCACAAATCCTTTTCTACCTACCGGTGTTCAGTCCTGTGGGTGTCAGCTATTTGGGAGGAATGGACATCCTAAGGCAGAGGGACAAAGACCAGTCATACACACCTGACACTGTTGCTGTTGCAGCGTATGGGCTTCGCAGGGCTTGATTCTTGAAACCGTTTCAGTTTTTTCCGCCACTTTGTCTTTGTTCTGTTCGCCAGAAACACCACCACCTCACCTCACGGAAGTGTCAGACCACAGCTCATTTCCCCACACCAGGGAGCCTGTGCCAGGGCAGCCAATCCCCCTCTTGTCTACTGACTCCACATCTGTGCTCATGGGCATTTCAGGTCTCACCAGATGAAACAGTTCAGCTCTTTCTCTGCTCACTTTTTCATCAGCATCATATGCTCCTCTCAGGACTTTCCAGATGAGCCCAGCTTGCCAGGGTCCCCAATAAGTAAAACTAGTTAGAGTCTTGCTTCCTCTAATAGATAGTTTATGGGGAGGTATTTTGTATGGGGAAGTATGTTGTATGGGGAGAGGTAGGGGACTCACCTCATCCAGTAAAATATGATAGAACAAACTGCTTGGAGTTTGAGGATGAGCCAGACTCTTAAAATTATTATTATTATTTTTCTAGGCCAAGGAGAGGTCTTGATGAGTTACTCATCTTTAGTGAAGCTCAGACCTCTGGGGTAAAAGTCAGTTGAGTGCGAGAGCAAGGGCTCTCAGGAGCCCAGTGGAAGAATCTGAGAATGTTCTTCTTCAAAACAGGAAGTTGGGGGAGGGGTATTATCAGTACTCAGCAGAAGAACCACTGCTCCCCATTCCTGAGTCTGGAGTGAAAGACTTTTCTTCTTCTCTTCCTTGCTGGATAATATTAATAGTTTGTCCAGGGTCACAAAACTTGTGAATGTCTGAGGCTGGATGTGAACAGGTCTTTTCCACTCCAGGCCCAGGCCTCTAACCACTTTGCCACCTAGCTGCCGTTAGCCTGCCTCCTACTCATCCTTTAAAGCTCAGCTCCTCACTTCCTATTAGAAGCCTTCCCAAATCCTTTCATTTTTTTCCCTTTTGGACTTCACACAGCCCTTTGTGCATCATCATCTTCTGAATAAATGTTTAATGTTTTTATACTTTCAGTATATATTCAGCACTATTCAGGTATTATTTTTTAGGTATGTGTTATATCTCCCTCCTCTCCTCTAATTAATCTTAATGAGTGTCAGAACTGCATCTCATTCAATCTTCATATCTCCCCCAGTGCCTAGTATATTGCCACATAGATGCTGCTTAAGTGCATTGAATTTAATTTGTAGATCTCAACTTAATCCAGGAATTTAGGAATCTGAGCTAGCATTTATATGATTCCAGATGTTCATATAGCCTTACATATATTATCTCGTTCAGTAAAGAACCTCAGGGGGTAAGAAGGACAGTCTGCCCCAGCCCCAGGTCCTCAACTTTGTAAAAAAAAAAAAATGTTTCACTTCCACCCAACTAAATAAAGATGACCTTGTGATGTAGTTTAATGGCCAAGGGGACACAGAACTAGGGAGTATGATACGATTGAGGGGGTGGGGCTAAGCAGAAAGACTGTGACCTTCCCAGGGCTAGGTTTGGTGCAATTTTACCTCTTTACAACTGCTTTGCTGTTCAGGTGTGTCACTAGTGTGCAGAGAGTCAACTCTTTCAAGGTGGCATGGTGTTGTGGAAAGAGCCCTGACTCTGTAGTCCGAGGATTTGAGTTTATAACTTGCTTCTGACACTAGCTGTGTTACTTTGGCTGAGTCACTTAAAATCTCTGGGCCTCAGTGTCCTCATGTATAGAGCAAGACAGTGAAACTAGGTTCCTCTGTGGCCTCTTCTGATCCTAAATCTGATGCTATCCATCTGCTTAATGAAAGGGAGTAGGAGTGCCGATAACTCAAATTCCTTTTATCTAAAATGTTTCTGTTCGTGCCACTGATCAATCTTAATCATACCAGAAAATCTCGGTTCCAGTTATTTGTAACCTTTGGAAAGTCTCAGTTTCCTTATTTGTAAAATAAGTGGGTTGCAACCCATCCTTAAGTTTACTAAAAGTGCTAACATTTTATTGTTTTGTATAGACTAAGGAAATGAGTTTGCACTGACTGAGTAATTACTAACTGGTTGGCAGGAAGAGATAACCACAGAGTGTACTCTGGTACAGTAGAAAGAACACTAGATGATGAATGAGAAGATGGGTTTAATCTTGACTTTGTCACTAACTCCTTGTATGGCCTCCTTGGGTAGGGCACACCTCTTCTGGCCTCTGTAAAATGAGAGTGTTGGACTAGATCTGTGAATTGTCCCTTCCATCTGACAGTCCATGCCGTTGTAAATGTTTGAGTAGGAGGGTGAGGGATGGAACTAGTCTATGGTTAATTTTGGCTTTGGATGAGCTGGGAATCAGACTCATTGTTCCATATGGGGATAATTGAAATTTGATTGCACTCAATGTTTAGAAAACTTCATTCATTTGTTTTGCTGAAAGAAAAAAAGGGGAGATTCTTGTTCCTGGTAGATCCCCAGACATCTCTTTCCATGGCAACATTACTTTGAGTTGGGACTTAGTAGGAGGGTTCTGTTTGCACTAATACCGGGGCTTGCTTTACAACCTGAGAAGCTGTTCAGCATCTCTGGGTCTCAGCTTCCCTTACCCCTCCACCTGCCCTTTTCAAAAGTGTTCTTAAACATCTTAGCTTGGCATACAAAGTCCTTCATGGTCCATCTCCAGCCTTGCTTCTCTTTTCATATAGTTCACATTAATCCCTATCACACCCCATTTAGAATCCTTAGCTTCTTTGATGGTTCAGATCAGGTGTCACCTCCTTCACGAAGCTTCCCTTGTTCTCTTAGTAGTTGTTCTCTCCCTCTTCAAGTTATTTTTACTTATCTGTGTACATGCTGTATGACTCAGTAGAATGTAATCCCCTCATGGGCTGGAACTGTTTCCTGGTTTGGCTTTGTTTTCACTTCTCACAATGCTTTGTATATAGTAGCTGCCTAATAAATGCTTGTTGAATCAGATGGGCCACATGCATGGAAAGGGATTGTTCTTACCTTCCAAGACCTGTCAGAAGCTTGAAGCAGTGTAGACAGGAGCTCTTGGAGAACCACCATCTTGTGCTTCAGAACCAACTCTCTCTGCAGGGCTTCCTGGAAGTGAAATGAAGCAAGAATAAATTAAACTGAGAGGGACAATAGGGCTGACTGGCAGGGGTGGGGTGGGTGCTGGCTTATTACTTACTTTGAGGTAGTCAGATAGCTGGATAATTTCCTGATGAGAAAGAGAAAGATATTAAAAAGAACTTAATGCCCATGACCTCAAGTAGGTCACAAGCAGGGTTGAAGTGTGTGTGTATACATACATGTGTCTAGCACACAGTAGACACTTAACAGATGCTTGTTGATTATATGTGACCTTAGGCAAATGATGCAGTGGAAAGGGCACTGGATTTGAAATAAGCTCTCAATAAATGTTTTTTTCACACACTCATTCATTTGAATCCTAGTTTTGTCATTTCCTACCTGTGTGATCCTGGGAAAGTCACTTAACCTGTATCAATTCTTCATCTATAAAATGAAGGGGTTGGATCAAATGATTTTGTAGGTCCTTTCTAATTCTAAAATCCCATGGGTTTTTGAAATCCATCCTGGATTTTACCAGGGTTGTCTTTTGGGCCCGTATTTTTGTCCAACTGCCTCATCAATTCCTCTGCTCTGTAAGGATTGTGTCCTATTCTAGCCTGGGTTTCTCTTACCTTATCCAGAACTGCAATCCCGCAACTGAGAAAAGAAAAAAATAAAAGGAGATGGCTATTGGATTTGAACAGCTGGGCCAAAGAAATACAAAGTTCATCAGTGAATTAATCCCTTCCATTCTATTCTTTTCCATAGTCTATGGTTCCCTTCTTTCCTTTAACATTAGAAGGAAAAATATCTATATATCTATATATCTATATATGTACATACACATATAGACACATACATATAGACACACACACACATATATACATATAAATAAATACACACATACACACGTATAGTCCCTACCCTCTCCCATCCTGTGGGGGCACACGTGGTATAGAAGGAGTCTGACTAGGGGAATAGTAATGTGAGAGGTTTGGGACCAGGAAATAACCATGGAAATACTCACTTGGTTTGCTGGCTGGCATCATTTTTAATTGTCAGTTGTAATCCTAGTGATTTCGTTTGTGTACCTGAAGAAGAGAGAGGAGTGGGGAGAATTGTTGAGGTGAAGCTCTGACCCTGAAACTGTCAGAGGAATAGGAGAGAATGATCCTGGATAAAGTGCAGCTGGGATGGCATAAGGTCCATTTCCAGTAAGTTGGGGTCATTGCTGGTTGTCTCTCTGCATGGCTCTCTATCACTGGGGGAAAGGATCTCCTTCATACCTTGATGAAGTGTGAGTGGCTTTTTGACTAGCACTTCCACTGGTAAGAGTTCCCAAGTAGAACGATGGTCAGAGGGATCCTTATGGTTTCCTGGGGGAGGATGGTGTTGGATTGAAAAGACCTTGGTACTGGTCTCAGATTCCTGCAAAGAAATCCAGAGATGATAAAGACTAATTCCCAAACCTTAGGAGACTTTCCAACCTGCTACAAAAAACTGAATTAGGAATTTTAGGTTCAGGAACTCTCTGAATGATCCAAGAAAACTTTGTTTTTACTTACTCCCCTGCCATGGCTTTCACGGCACTAGAGTCATTCTAGAAATAACCTTTCTTGACACGGAAAATGAACACCTCAGTCATCCCCTTGATCCTAGGCAGTACTACTGCTCCCTAGTTCAGACAGATAATAGTCAGGGCTGTCCAATGGTTTGTGCTCTCCCAGACCAGGCTTTCATTGCTCCATTCACAGTATTTGGGGTTCTTGTCCTTTTTATATAGTTTATATAGCCATTATGGTGTAGTGAGTTGAATACTGAACCAAAAGTCAGGCAATCTGGTCTCAGCTCTCTCACAAACTAGCTCTATGACCTTGGTGAAGCACTTAATCTCATCACCAGAAGCTAGTTGAACCAGATGTGAAGGTTTATCTATGTAATCCCACTTACTAAGGAGCTAGTGGAGACCCTGAGCTTGGAAATTCTGACCTGCAGTGGTTTAAGCTGATCAAGTGTCTGCATAAGTACAGTATCAATACGGTGAGTCCCTAGGATGGGAGAATCACCAGGTTGCCTAAGGAGGGGTAAACCTGCCCAGGTCAGATATGGAACATGTCAAAGCTTCTGTGTCAGTTGGTAGTAAGATCAGGCCTGTAAGCAGCCTCTGTACTTCCAGTCTGGGCAAGAGAGAAAAAACTAGTCTTTAAAAAAGAAAAGAAAAAAAGAAGCTAGATGAACATTTGTCATGGACGTTGTAGATGGGATTCATAATTTGGTCTAGATGACCTGTGAAATCTCTTCCACCTCTAAAAGTCTATGTATTTCTCCACGTATCAAGTTTCTCTATGACATTGTTTTGGACATTGAAGGCATGCTTATCAAATGAGATTCTTATTTGGGAGAGTTAGCTAATTGGATGACCGAATTAGGATCAAGTCAGGTCAACAAGCATTTAATTCAACAAGCATTGTCAAAATACAAAGACAAGCTGGAACAGTGATATGACATTTAAGTTAAAAAAAAAATAGTGGCATGAATAGAAGACAAAGAATAACATGGTTAGATTGTAGTTCCAGGATTTTAGCAGATTGTCGTTTCAATAAGAATCAATGTTGTGCTAGGACAAACAGAAAAGAAGCTAACAAAATATTAAGTTGCAATAAAAAATAGAGCTATAGCATTCAAAATTAGGTCTTACTATATAACATTCTGGATAGGCCAAATCTGAAGAATGTGTCCAGTTCTGTGTTCCACATTTTAGGAAGGACATTGACAAGTCTTACGTCCAGGGGAGGGTGACCAAGATGGCAAGGAGCTTCCAAACTATGTCACATGAACATCAGTCAAAGGAACTGAACATATTTAGTGAAGACTAAATGGGGGTGGGGAGAGGCCCAATAGGATAGCTCTTTTCAAATATTGGGAGTGTTTTCTTTTGGACAGACTCAAGAGGACGAAACTAGGACCAATGGATGGGAGTTAAAAGAAGTCAGATTTTGGCTCAATATAAAGAAAACAATTCTTCAATTAGAGCTGTGAATCATTGGAAGTGTTCAAGTAGAGATTGAATGACCTTTATTAGGAATTCTGTAGAGAAAATTTATATTTCTGGTAGGGGTTGCATTCAATGATTTCTGATATTGCTCCCAATTCTCACATTCTATAATCCTGAGCACTGCACTAGAAAGAGACAGAAAGTCCAGGGAATCTTATCAGATTCAGGGACTCTAAGAAAAGTAAAGTGATGAGTGACTGGAAAGCTGAGAGAGAGAATATTCTGGCAACCAATTTCATTTTTTTAGGAGGGTAAAACTGAAAATCTCTTTTTTCTCTTTTTCTTCCTTTTCTCTTTCTCCTCGTCCTCCCTCCCTCCCTCCCTCCCTCTCTCTCTCTCTCTCTCTCTCTCTCTCTCTCTCTCTCTCTCTCTCTTTCTCTCTGTGTTTTAGCAGGCTAGAAGTACAATAGTCACTCATGGGCCCAGTCCCGCTGCTGATCAACACAATAGCTTTGATCTGTTCCCTTTGGGACCTGGGACAATTTGCCCTTCCCCTTAGGGATTCTGATGGATCCCTTCTTCTGGGGGCTTACCATATTGGTACTGGACTTAGTATGGACACCTGATTGGCTTTAGATCTACTGTAACTCAGAACTTCTGAGCTCAAATGATCCAGCAGCTCCAGCCTCCTTGGGAGCAGAGCTTACAGGTATGTACCAGCATATCTGGCCAACCCTTTTTATTTCAAAACTTCTTGAAAATCTTTCTGAAATATATCAAATACATATTTTTCCTTGGAAAGGATAATATAGAATTTATTATAATATATAGATAACATAGTGAAAGATTTTTTTTTTCCTGGTTGACTGAGGATCTCATGGTTTTTTAGGGCTATCATTCTGAACATAAGGTTCTTTCAACATCAGTCTGCTTGATGAATTGCAGATGAATCAATCAAGAAGTACTGATAGATAGAGAACCTACTCTGGGCGCAATGCTTTTCTAGCCGTAGTGGGAATGCCTGAGAAGAAAGAAGACATTTTTGCTGCCTTCTCTGCTCTTTTAGAATTTACAATCTATTTGGGAAGGCAGGATTAACACAAGTGGAACAATGAGAGAACAATACAAGGACTAAGCTGTGGTACCAATTCTAAATGCCATAGAGAAGAAAAAAAATCAGAGCCAGAGCTCGACATAGGTCTTTAACGATGGATAGGAGTTGAACATGTTGAAAGAAGAGGGGCTGGGGGAGAGGTACAAAGGTTTGGAGGTAGGAATGAACATTCTAGGTTTTAGGGGATATCAAGAAGGTCAACTTGACTGTCGATGAGGATTTGTATGGAGGAATGATGTAGATGTAAAAGGTGTGGTTGATTAGACTGGCTATCAACTGACTATGGGGTATGTACCATGGGAATAGTTTTACTGAGTCTGAACATTAATGTGATACAGAGGAAGGAGGACTGACTATGAGGTCAGAGGACCTGTGTTTATATCTCACTCCTGATGCTTATTCCTATGTGACTTTGGGGAAGTCACTTAAAGTCCCTGAGCTGGTTTTCTTATCTATGAAATGAATGATTTGGACTAGTTGACCTCTGAGGTCTTTTCTAACTCTTGATCCGTTATTAGCTCTGCCATGTGGTCATTTCCCTTTCTCCAGGCCCAGCTCAAGTGACACCTCCTCCTATTGCCTTTCCTAAGTCTCTTAGCAAGAAATGACGGCTTCTTCCACGGAGTGCTCATTTTACTCCCTTGACCTCTTTCGTCTGGTAATAAGTAATATTTAGTGACCTACAGCTCTCATACCCTTCGTAGGCTGTCAGTTCCTTAAAGGGCAGACACAATATCATTTTTCATCTTTACATCTTTTGTGCCTAGCATAATGCACTGTATGTAGCACGTGTTGAAATGAATAGGAGCATGGAAGGAAAAAATGTAATGTTCAGAATGATAGTCCTAAGGACCCACAAGATCCTCAATCAACCGAACAACAACAACAACAACAACAACAACAAAACCCTTCCGTCTATATTATCAATATAACCTTCAATTCTACACTATCCTTACCAAGGAAGGTTATGTATTTGATATATTTTAGGAAGATCTTCAAGAAGTTTTGAAATAAAAAGGGTTGGCCAGGCATACTGGTACACAACTCTAATCTCTGCTACCGGGGAGGCTGAGGCTTTTGGATTGCTTGAACTCAGGAATTCTGAACTGTCGTAGATCTAAAGACAATTAGGTGTCTGCACGGAGTCCAGTACTCAGTGGGGAGCTCCCAGAAGCAGAAGATTGGTTGAGGACTCTCTCTTCATCCCCAGACTAGTGCAGATAATGTGGAGAACGTTCCTCCATGGTGGCTACCTGTTGTCCAGATGATGACTCCGTGCCACTGCAAAGGTTGGATGCCTTAAGGTCACCTTCCTGGCCTTCCTTTCTTAAGAGCCCCCGGGTCCCAGATAATGAGCCTTTCACTTTTCCTTCTTCTATTTCCAGGTTCCTTCTCTTAAGAAATTGCTGTTGACGAGGGCTCTGGGTCTGCTCACTGCCAGGCCTTCTTCTGGTCCTCCTCATCTGGCGGCATGTAGTCACGTTGGGGCGGCGGCGACGGCTTTCTCGAATCTCCTGTCGACGCTCACACTTGGCCTCATAGGTCTCAGCTACCCGGGCTGGTCCAGCTGATGGCTTGGGGTTTGGGTAGATCATGATGCTTTAGCAACCTGTCGTGCTTGGCTCTTGATTCCTAGGACAGCTCTCTTATCCTAGAGCAAGCCAAGAGGCATGAAGAGGGACAAGGATTTTGTGTGAGTGGAGCAGAAAAACCAAACCAAACCAAACCCCACACCCCCCAAACCTTTTTCCCGTAAGGTAGAGGGACAAACATGGGCAGATTGGAGTGCTGTTCTGGAGTCTGACCTCCTGACAACTTCTGTCTCCGAGGCAAGTTCCTACTTTTCTCTTGCCTTTAGTCCACTCTTGTAGTTTTACTCTTGTAAAATGGGAAGTGTTATGTTCCCTTTTCCATCCTTCTTAGTCAGGAATGTCATGAACATGGATTAAGTAAAAACTGTAATGAGTTTTCAGATTTTTGGGGATATAAGTTGTAAGCTGAGGCTGGACTTCATTCTTTAAAAATAAATTTTTATTCACATCTTTAGTTTCATATCTCCTCGATTTCCCAACATGTCTTTGCCCTACCCCCCAAAGCCATTTCTTATAACAAATAAAAAGGAGGGGGGAAAAGTCCTGTTTTACTGGAAAAGTGTACCATCATATGCAATGTTCTACACTCTGAGTCCCCCACCTCTAGAACAAGCCTTTATTAAGCACCTACAACGTTCCAGTCATTGTGCTAATCACTTTACATTTGATCCTCACAACAACTCATGGAATTAGGTGCTGTTTTACGTTTTACAGCTAAAGAAACTGAGGCAAACAGAGTTGAAGTGACTTGCCCAGCATCACCCAGCTAGTAAGTGTCTGAGGCCACATTTTGAACTCGGGTCTCCCTGACTCCAGACCCAGTATTTTATCCATTTTGCCTCGCTGCCCTTAACTGTGGCAGTCAAGCTTCATTCTTCAGGGCCTTAGTGAGATTTGCTTGAAGTTTTCCCTCGTTATTCTCTGGATTCTGCAGAGTTCTGCCCTGAGAAGGGAGTTAACATCTCCATCCCATGTCGTAGAACAAATTGTTACTGGAGACTGGCAAAGACTGTTCTTAAGGCAAGTAGGCCTGGTCCAGGTTCTCGAGGAGAAAACCCCCTGCTGTTCCTCCGTGGCTGAACCCTAAATCAGGGTTCTTCTTCCATCCCAAGCCCCTGTCTCGGCTCATGAGGCAGGACCTGACTTTTAGCCTCATCTCAAGGAATCACTAAGCATTTGTTAGATTATTGCTTTTTGCAAAGAAGGTTATAATTCAAGCCTCGGATTTCAATATCTGGCTCAGTAACTCTGGAAAGGGGACTCCTATTTAAAGGCCATCTGCCTACTAAGGCTGTGCCTCTCTCTTTCCTAAACCTGTGTTAGAACTGCCTGCCAGCCCTCCCTGGATCATACACTCTTAGCATCACCAAACTTCATTGGATCTCAGGATTGTAGGTCCAGAGCTAACTCCCCCAAGGACCCTTGCCAGGGGCAAAGGTGATCCTGCTGTGCCTCTGCATGGTCTAACTTCTTTTTTTTATTTAACATTTCCACATTAGTCATTTTGTGAAAAAAGAATCAGAGCAAAAGGAAAAAAAAAACACGAGAAAGAAAAAACAAAACAGAAAAGTGGAAATAGTTCTTTCTCTAGATGTGGATAGCATTTTCAATTGTGAGTCTTTTGGAATTGTCTTAGATCATTGTATTGCTGAGAAGAGCAAAGTCTAACAAAGTTGGTCATCACACAATGTTGCCGTTACTGTGTACAATGTTCTCCTGGCTCTGTTCACTTCACTCAGCATGTTCACGTAAGTCTTTGCAGGTTTTTCTGAAATCCTCCTGCTCATTATTTCTTACAGCACAATAGTATTCCATTACATTCATATACCACCACTTGTTCAGCCATTCCCCAATTGATGGGCATCCCCTTAATTTCCAATTCTTTGCTACATGGTCTCACTTCTGACATACTGTCTAGCACCCAGACCTAAGGCTCTTGGTTTTTATTTTTCCTCTTCTCCCCTCCTATTCCCCTTCCCCCACCCCCCAATTCTTGCCCCACCTACCTTCCCTCTACATCCTGCCTTGTGGTTATATAGGCCTTTCATTTCCCTCTCTAGCAGCTGCTGAAACAGAGATGGATGAACCCCAATGAATTTAAGCCTGCTATAGATTAGGGGAAATTGTGCATCCTGTCCTCTCCCCTCACTGACTACCTTAGGATGTGATATTCACTAGGCTGGGTGGGGCGTGGATATTTGCCCATAGTTTGAGGTGGCCTGTAATCTTCGCACAGGGTGAAGATTGGGGAGTGTTCCCCTTTAGCCTGGGCATAGTTGCTGTCCAGGCTGGACCAGTCAGGTGGGCACAAACATGGCTGGGGTAGGAAGAGGGTGATTGGGAGGTGGGCAACAGGCTGCCTGAAGTCCACTTTGTCTGAGGTGGTGTTCTAGGTCACCACCCTATTCTGCCTCTGACTTTTACTGATTCTTACTGATGCCAATTGATAGGCTCTGTAGCTGAGGTAAACGATCTGAATAATTGAGATGATTCTGCTTCTTCACACTATAGAGAATGATAGAGGTAGTGGTGAGACAGAGAGAGATGACACAATACTCTAGCTCAGCTGGCTACACTAATCCAATAAATTGTTCACCTCCCTACTTCCAAATGGGCAGGTACAGTTAGTGACCAAAGAAGGGGTCCTAGCAGAAAGGACTCCTCAAGAAGGGGAAAATTCCTAGATTTCCATGGTCTCAGAACTTTTCCTAGCTTTGCCCTGTCCCCATATCATCGCTTATGTATACTTACACATGTGATAATTATCCTAGCTAACATTTATCTAGGCCAACTCTGTGCCAGGCATATATGTACATAGTGTTTCCCCTGATAGAATGTAAACTCTGAGTCCTTGAGGACAGACACTTTTTTTTTTTTATCACTTTTGCTTGTATTTCTAGTACCTGTCACAGTGCTTGGCATATTAGAGAAGCCTGAGGACCTATAGATTGACTGACATATCTAGCCTCTCGGATGGAGTCTTCTGGACAGTAGTGAATGGAGCTAGCCTTAGCCTGAGAGATACTTCTGGCCCTGTAGTGCCAGCAGCAGAATAGACCCAAGTCTTGGGATTTCCCAGGAATAGGAAGCCTGCCAATCTAGGCGCTGGAGACATAGGCAAGGGGAGAGAAAGGAAATGGAGAGCCTGTGGTACTCTGTGCTCTGGTTCACAGAAAGGCCAGACTGAAAAGATATTCACTCTTGGTTAAGTGTCTGGTTTGTGGCATCTGGAAGGAATACCTGGTGCTCAATGAGTAGTGTGGGCTGCAGTGGATCCAAGAAGGGAAGCTGTGGTATTGTTGGTTCCCCTCTTCCAATCCTCCTTCCTGAGAAGTGTGTTAAGCGGAGGTGCTCCTAACGGGTGGGGAAGCTGGTGTTTTTAGGTTGAGTAGCATCTACCTCTCACCTGGGTCAGCACTGCATTCTCACCCTGGGTTGGCACCCCCCGTTCCTGAGGGACTTTATGCTAACAAGTCAGTTTGCCGAATCATCAGGACTTCCTGCATGAGTAAGGGCCCTTTCTGTCTGCGTCTTAGGAGTTAGAGATAGGAGGGGAAACCTCTGAAAGGCACTGTGGAATAAAGGATAGAATGTCCTGTTTGGAGTCAGGAAGTTGATGGTTGTTGTCATCATCGTTGTCGTTGAGTCGTTTCAGTTGTGTCTGACTCTTCTTGACCCTGTTTGGATTTTTTGGCAATGATACTGAAATGGTTTGCCATTTCCCTTTACAGCTCATTTTACAGATGAGGAAACTGAGGCAAATTGGGTTAAGTGACTTGCCCAGGGTCTTACAGCTAGTAAGTGTCTGAGGCCAGACTTGAACTCAGGAAGATGAGTGTTCCTGATTCCAAGCCTGGCATTCTATCTGCTGTGCCACCTAACTGCCCAGAGTCAGGATGATCTGGGTTCAAATCTTGCCTTAACTGCTTATAAGCTGTATGATCCTGAACAAATCAATTAATCTCTCTAGGTTTCAGTCCCTTACCTATAAAAATGAGGGGATTGAACTAGATGGTCTTTTTAAGCCCTGAATATGAGTTTCCACAGTCCCTCCAACAGTAGAACCACTGCTTAGTAGTTATTATATGAAATTCAGGGTAGGAGGGAGCCTTGAGAGAACATCTACTCCATTCACCTACCTTCAAATAGCCTGATCCCTAAGCCTTTTGGGGGTGGGGGGAAGGGAAAATGATTGTATTTCGTTCATTCATTCATTCTTCATTCATTCATTCATCATAATTGAGTATTGGAAAGAGTGCTGAATTTGTAATCAGAGGACTTAAATTCTTGACTTTTCCTTTTATTACTTATTACCCATTGGGCTAGTTACTTAATCTCTCTGAGCCTTAGCTGCCTTATCTATAAAATGAGGGGTTTGGACTAGATGACCTCTAAGATCCTTTTCAGTTTTAAATCTGTGACCTTATGAGATCCTGTGAATACATTTGTTTCCTTTCTTACATATCATATAGAGGAGAGATGAAAACTAACCTTTGTCCTCATTGACTGGAGCTTTTGGAATTTAATTCTATTTTTTTTTTCTGCTCTTCAGATCACCCAACAGTATTCATTTTAGTGTTTCTTTCTTTGGCCCCAGGCAGATCGAACATGAAAACCTCCTCTGACCCACCCCAAAGTCAGAGGCCAAAATGCGGATATGGGCAAAAATACACAAGCTTCTTCCCCAGTTACCTTTTTGTCCCAGATGCTTTCAGGCCAGCAGCAGAAGGGAGTATTCTTAGGAGCAGCAGTGTTGGGGCCTTAACCTTCCTGTTCTCTAGGGGATCAAGTTTGACTCTGGTCTCAGATGGGGCAAGAGAAATGGTTGAAGTTTGGGGTTTTCAATCTGCCGTTCCAATCCTTGCTGACATTTCCCTCCTCCACCGACCTTTCTTTTCTCAGTAGTCCTGTTGAAACAGGAAACAGATGAAGTCACAGCACTTACAAACCCTAGTTCCTCTCTTACTTATTACTACGGCAAGGGGGAACTCTCAGCCCTTGAAATCTTGAGGACTGGGTTTAGGAGTCTCTCAGTTTTGGTTGTTGGGTCTGTGATTGTCCTTTCACTGGCTAGCCTTCTCTTCTGGTTGCTGGGTCTGCTAAATTGTAGGGTAGTTGGGCAAGGAGTTTTCATTCTGGGAATACAAGAGAATGATACTTTAGGTCTGAATTAAACTTTGTGTTTCTGAAAAAGACAGATGACTTAAAATGTTTTTATTAGAATATCTTTTGTTTTTACATCATTGTCATTTCCAAATATGCCCTTTTTTTCTCTACCCAGAGACCATCTTTTATAACAAAGAATAAAAAAGAAAGCTAAAAAAGCGGTTGAGTAAAGCTGCACAAAACTGAGTCTGACAGTATGTGAAATGTTCCATTATGCACAGTACCCCTTGAAAGAAGTGGGAGATGCCCCTTTTCTCATTTCTTTGTAAAGCCCACACTTGGTCTTTATCATTATGCAACACTCAGGGCTTTTTTTTTTCTTCTTTGTAGTAGTTATTGCATACGTTGCTTTCCTGATTCTGATTATTTCACTTTGAATCAAATAATGTCTGCCCATGCTTCTCTGAAGTCTTTATATTCATTGTTTCTTATAATGCAGTAATATTGCCAAGATTTCTTTGGCTGGGAGTTCCCAGTGCAGGTCTCGGTTGAGCCACATATTCAGATATGGTAGGAAGAAGTGGTCTAGGAGATGAATCACTCATGTGGAGGAATATATCTTCCTTAGACTGTGAGCTCCTCCTAGCTGTCCTCCTGGCATACAGTAGGGTCTTAATAAATGTTTGTTCCCTTCCCAACAAGTAGTCATTTAGCCTTTACTGTGAAACACACTGGAGAACTTACTGTCATGGCACTTTTGGATAGTACTAATTATTAAGAAGTTTTTCCTTATGGTTAGCTGAAATCTGCTGTTCTGAAGCTGGTTCTAGAACTGCCTTGTGGTGACAAGTTGAATAAGTTTTACTCCTTTTTCATATGACAATCTTTTGGATTTGATGAATACCATCATGTCTCTCAAACAAAACCCTTTTCTAGGTTATCTCCAGTTCTGTTAACAGACCAAGTGGCAATGTCCTGAGGCCCCTCACTACCATCTTGACTGCCCCTTCCTGGACATGCACCAACTTGTCAGTGATCCTCCTAAAATGTGACACTGAAAACCAGAGAGAATGCTACACATGGGCTCAACAATCCATCTGGAACTCAAGACTCAGCTCCACCACCATCTATAATATAAAGCCTTTCCTGGTTCCTCCCAGCTGCTAGTGCACCCTCTTCCCAAACTACCTTGTATTAAATCTGTACATATTTTTAAATACATATATGTACATATGGTATCTCCCCCATTTTAATGTAAGCTCCTTATTGTTTCACTTCAATTCTTCTTTTAGATTCCTCTCTCTCACACCCCCATATTCAACCTGTTACCAAGGTCTGTTGATTTCTCACTTCCAACACTTTCCAAGGCACTCCTTTGTGTCCGCTGATACTGCCACCACCCTGGTGTAGGCTCTCATCACCTCTCTTTAGAGCCAGTAGAGCCTATTTTCTCCATTACCAACCTTTCCCTCTGTCCTCTGATCACCATCCAACCCACAGCTCATCTGAAATAATCTAAGGCTATCCACTTGTTTCTCTGTCGCTACTTCTGTGATCCTTGGTCTCTGAAACTGACCTTCCACAAAGAAGGACTTTCATCCTCTAGCTGATAGATATTGAAAAATTGCTCTAGGCTTTTCCCATGTCCTCCAAGTCACAGAATTATCTCTAGTCTTCACAAATATCACCCCCCTATGATCTTAGATTCCGTGATTTCTTTTCTTTTCTTTTCTTTTTTTTAAACTAGGCAGTGGGGCTAAGTGACTTGCCCAGGGTCACACAGCTAGTAAGTGTCACCACATTTGAACTCAGGTCCTCCTGACTGTACCACTTAGCTGCCCTGGATCCCGTGATTTCAAGGCCAAATATGACATCAGAGGCAAATCTCTAGAGGCTGTCCATTAACTGCCTCTTATTCAAGTCAGTTCCCTGCTACTATCACAGTGTTGGGGGGTGAGGTTGGGGCATACAAATACTCTCTCCTAGGCAGGGCATGGATAGTCTCCTGGGAAGCTTCTTAACTTGGGGCAGACAGTTCTGTAAATATGTACTGACAACTGTACTTTTCATTCACCATCACTTTCTGTCTATCCCATACATGCCATAGTGTTTTAATGCCATAGATATAGAGGCAGAAAGGACCTCAGAGGCCATGTAGTTCAATGCCCTAATTTTACAGATGAGAAAACTGAGGCCTAGGTAGGTTGAATGATTTGCCTAAGACCATATAGGTAATAAGCACCAGAGGTAGAATTTTATCCCACATACTCGGATTTCTTAACCAGTGCTCTTTTCTCTATATCACACTGCCCATGATGCCATGTATTTCATGGCATCTCTAGACAATTCCTCCTTTTGCAAGAAAGCCTTGACCTTTATTTCTATTTTTTTCATCTTTGGTGCTGAGGACTAGTGATTAGATACTAAGTACTCTCTCAAACTTGCAACACTGCAGGAGTATTGGAATGCCTGTTGAGTTTAGACAATTTATGTAACTTAGATAACATGATATGGTATTTCCCCAAATTAGAGAGCATCTCTAAGTACACTCTCAATATCCTTGTCCCCCAGTGTATTAGTCAAACCAAATACTACGTGTTGCCTCTGGTGAGGCAAGTACATCATTTCATACCGACTTTCCAATCCCTGGACTGACAGCGTTAGTTTTGGTTTAAATAATAATTACAGTGTGCAGAGGAGTGCAACAAATATCAGTGCTAAAGCATACAATGTGAAAAATTGTCAAAGTTATATATCTCTAGCATAAGTTTAGAGCATAAGCATGCAATTAGAGGTACAATAAAATACAGCTGTTTGGTTCAGAATGAGAGACCCAGTAAAACTAGACAAAAATTTTTTTGTAAAAAATAAAATCAAGAAAGTTCAGTCACAGGAAGTGCCTGATGTATTCTAAGCTGACCTGAAAAATTTTTACATTTTAAAAAATATCCTAAAGTCCTCTGGGTCTACGCAACATCATGCTTCAATCAAATATAGGCAGCCATGCACACCAACCAAAACCAGAAACCACCAAGTTCTCTGTAACTATCAAAAGAATGATTCCCTCTCACCCTCTAATTTCCTCTCTCTCTCTCTCTCTCTCTCTCTCTCTCTCTCTCTCTCTCTCTCCCTCTCTCTCCTTCCCTCTCTTTCTGGGGGGAGTGGACAATATAAATATAGGAGATTTGGTGTGGATTTACCCATTCAAATCACAACTCAGTCCTCTTTCTATTCTAACAATGCATTGATGTGCTATGTTAGTAGTGTTATACTGGAAAAGGCCAAGGTCCCCCACTGCATCCTGGGCCATCTCCAGTTGTCCTGATTTATGTCTTGCCAGTGGACCCAGATGGCTCCAAAGGAGAAAGTGAGACTGGTGACTTTGCACAGCCCTCCCTCACTTAAATCCAATTCACTTGCAAGTCATGGCATCACCTTCCTGATGTCATGGTCCTCTTCCAGAACTGAGGACAAACATCAACCACAACTGGACCAGGAAGCAGGGATTGTCACTACTTACTGGCTCCCGTCCTCGTGGGAGGTACTACTCCTTCTCTACCCCTCCCCTCATGTATGACTTTCTCTCCAGTCACACCCCCAGCTTCTTTCATCCAGAGGGATGGTTGTCCTTTCAACCTTCAAAGGGAAGATAATGGGAAGAGAATATGGTCAAGATGCCACCTCTCATACCAAGTTATCATAGACCAACCCCACCAAAACAGCTGGCTTACTTTGTCTAGAAATCTCCAGGTCTAAATTTTTTCTCTTTATTCTGGGAAGATGTAAAATTGAACTAACAATTTTATCATCAATAATTGTGAGTTCTCAGCCACAAAAGTTGCTCTAGAGGATATATACTATACTTAAAATCTCTCTCATGAATTTTCTTTCCTTTGTGACATTTGAGTAATGAAATATGTAGATTGGTAATGAAATAGTTAACCACACTTATCATACCTAAAATACAAAAAGAAAGAGAAAGCAAATCAACTCTTAAGAAAAAGATTTAGGGAATAGGCACACCTCTTTTGCAAAGGGAGAGGCAAGTGAAGAGGGAGGGGGAGCACGAGGAATCAGCCTTGGCAGTTCAAACAGTTTCAGTAAATCCACTCTCTGTTATGTGCTCCTGCTGCATTCATGGCCCATACATAACCTCTAGCTGAAAGTTTCATTCCTGGTGCTTTATCTTCACAGCTCCTGGGACACACCTCTTGATTACTAGAACAGCTGACCAGTCAAAGAGCCACTCCCTCCACCTGCTTCTGCTACTAACATGGGCTCTCCCCAGCTCCATTCTCCTTTTGCTCAGCTTCAGCAGCTCCCTTCCTCTCTTTTTATGAGAGTGACTGGTGAGTCAGTCAAAGTCTGGATGCATCAATCCAAAGTCAGGGGTATCTCCCTAAAGGTTGAGGAGAAAAATGCTGGGGGATTTCCATTCTGACCAACAGGCATACATCTCAGGTGGGTGCATATCTCCTTGGCAACATCAAACGCTGCTACACGAACTAAGCTCCTGACCTTGTGCCATCTCTATTACCTTTCAGGTGAGATCCTTTGCAAATACATCACTACATTATTTCATGGTCCAGATCTGAGATTTTATTGGTTTCCAATGAAGAAACTCCCTCTGCCAATGCAGATCAGCAACTCTTCTGCAACTTATATGTAGGTAGTTGTGTGGGGAACTGATAAGTAACTAGCCCAGAGTCATAAAAAGTATTCATAAGAGATCGTCATGAGCCAGAGGCTAGATTTGTATCCATTATGCTATAATGTTTCTTAATCACAATGTTAAAAAATGACTACAAAATATTATAT